AAAAAAAAAAAAAAAAAAGAAAATGACTCATCAATGTTTTTTAAACTTTAGTTACTTATATTAAGTAATTGCATGAGGAAAAGGTGTTGTCATTGTTTTAGTTACATAGCTATAATTATAATTTATTAGAACTTTACTTGCTGGTTTAATTCTTATGAATTCTATGTCTCATCCTGTTTAGGTGGTTTCCTAGAAACATGATTGTTTGTTGGACTTGATCTCACAGCCTCGTGAGGACTTCTCTACTGATAATGTCAAGTTCAGGTTATCCTCCCAACCAAGGAGCATTCAGCACAGAACAAAGTCGTTATCCTTCCCACTCTGTCCAGTATACCTTTCCCAACACCCGCCACCAGCAGGTAAGGAAAAAATGGTATACAAATTGTGTATGTATATTGTGTTTTTATTTACTTTTCCTATTTAATACATTTGCTGATGGGAAGCCAAATACACTTTTTTTTTTTGAGATAGAGTTTTACTATGTCACCTCGGTAGTGGCACCACAGCTCACAGCAACCTCAAACTCTTTGGGCTTAAGCATTTCTCTTGCCTCAGCCTCCCAGGTAGCTGGGACCACAGGTGCTCGCCACAATGCCTGGCCATTTTTTTTTGGTACAGTTGTCATTGATGTTTTAGCTGGCCTAGGCCAGGTTCGAACCCGCCACCCTCGGTGCATGTGGTTGTCGCTGTAACCACTGTGCTACGGGCACCGCCCCCCAAATACACTTTTTTTTGTTGTTCTTGTTTTTTTAATGACAACCATTTTCAAAGATGGAGAAACAAAGGTTGGGAATTAATTATGTCTGTCTTCTTACTGTGACTTTATGTTAGATTTCAGAGATTGAACATATCTTTGCTTTTGTTAGTAGGAGTTGTTGATGGATAGAAAAGTATCAGTTGCCTAGAGTTTCTAGGTTAAAGATCTATGTTTATTCTCCAGTTTCTGGTTGAGTTTTAAGTTGGCCAGATAACTTGGTCTCTCTAGAGTGGTAACCAGGGTAAAAGCTTCTATTTTGAGATTTGTAAATAAAATTTGTATGGTAGATGAAGTTTGTATGATTGATTTATCTTGTGAAAAATAAACTAGGAGGTTAGCCAGGCATGGTGGCTTATGCCTGTAATCCTGGCATGCTGGGAGGCTGAGGCAGGTGGATTGCTTGAGCTTATGAGTTCAAGACCAGCCTGAGCCACAGTGAGACCTCTTCTCTTTAAAAAAAAAAGAAATAGCTGGGTGTTATGGCAGGTGCTTGTAGTCCCAGCTATTTGGGAGGCTGAGGTAAGAGAATCACTTGAGCCCAAGAGTTTGAGGTTGGTATGAGCTGTGATGCCATGGCACTCTACCAAGGGTGACAAAGTGAGAATCTGTCTCAACAAACAAACAAACAAACATAAAAACAAAGTAGGAGGTGAGATAGTCAGCTCAGGTGGACCAGGTTCAGGGTGAAAGAGGTTTTAAGAAAACAGGAACAGGGCCAGGTGCTGTGGCTCACGCCTGTAATTGGGCATTCCGGAGACTGAGGCAGGTGGATTGCTTGAGCTTACGAGTTGGAGACCAGTCTGAGCAAAATCAAGACCTCCGTCTTTACTAAAAATAGAAAAACTGAGGCAAGAGGATCACTTGAGCCTAAGAGTTGGAGGTTGCTGTGAGGTATGATGCCACAGCACTCTACCCAGGGTAACACCTTAATACTCTGTCTCAAAAAAAAACAAAACAAAACTAGGAACGGGAGGAATGAGAAAACGGTCATCTGAGAGAATCAGCAAGCAGATTTCTCAGAGAAATATAATTGAATACTGCCAGATGTTATTGAGGACTCTGAAGTGTGGCCATTGTTACAGAGTGAGAATGGACTTCCTTACATTGACCCTGTGTAGGGTAACATTTTCTCTTTTCACCATTAAGTATAATATTAGTTGCATGTTTTTGTTAATATCCTTTTTTTGGTTGAAGAAGTTATCTTCTGGGTGGTGCCTGTGGCTCAGTGGGTAGGGCCCCGGCCCCATGTGCTGAGGGTGGCCGGTTCAAACCTGGCCCTGGCCAAACTGTAACAAAAAATAGCTGGGTGTTGTGGCTTGTGCCTGTGATCCCACCTACTCTTAAAAATAAAGTTGTCCTCTATTCCTGATTTGATTTTTTTTTTTTTTTGAGACAGAGCCTCAAGCTGTCACCCTGAGTAGAGTGCGGTGGCATCACAGCTCACAGCAACCTCCAACTCCTGGGCTTAAGCAATTCTCTTGCCTCAGCCTCTCAGATAGCTGGGACTACAGGCACCTGCCACACGCCCAGCCATTTTTTGGTTGTAGTTGTCATTGTTGTTTGGCAGGCCCAGGCTGGATATGAACCCACCAGCTCTGGTGTATGTGACTGGCACCTTAGCCACTTGAGCAAAAGGCGCTGAGCCCTGTCTATTTTTTTTGTTGCAATTGTCATTGTTGTTCAGCTGGCCTGGGCTGGGTTCGAACCCACCCTCATGCATGTGGCTGCCACTATAACAACTGTGCTATGGGTACTGAACCCTCATTTGATAATTTTTATTATGATTGAACATTGAATTTTGCTTGTAAGTCTTCCCTACATCGATACTATTTACCTGATTACTAATTTTCTAGATTATTGTTACTGCTTCTTTTTTAAGTTAACTTTATAGTTTAGTTTATGTAATAAAATGTACTCATTGTATGTGTATGTTGTAGTAAATTTTGACAAACTTATATGCCATATAGCCATCACCAAAATGAAGATAAAGTGTAGTTACATCACCCTACAGTGGTTCTCAACCTTGGGTCGCGACCCCTTTGTAACAATGATAATACATCCTGCATATCAGATATTTACATTACGATGCATAACGGTAGCAAAATTACTGTTATGAAATAGCAATGAAAATAACTACTGTTATAGTTCCACAACATGAAGAACTATATTAAAGGGTGGTGGCATTAGGAAGGTTGAGAACCACACTGCCCTAGAAAAGTTCCTTGTTACCCCATCCAAGATGGTCTTCCTGCCCCACTTCCTACTAACCTAAGCTCTCGGGAAATCACTGACTTACTTTCTGTCATAGTAGATTGTATGTGAATTTTGTATGAACTCTTTAGTCTGTGGCCTCTTTTGCTTCCCATATTTCTGAGATTTATCTATGCCTGGCACAGATTCTCAGTAGTTCATTCCTTTTTGTTACTGCATATACCACAATTTGTTTATCGAGTCATCCATCACAGTTTTTGCTTGCTATAAATAAAATTATTTTGAAAACATACCTGTTTATTGTAGATGGATTACTTAAAGAGGTATTGCTTTAGTAAATTGTGTCCTTTGGAGAGTTTATGTGTTTACTTTTTATCAAAAAGTCCAATTTATTATTTATGTATTTTATATTTTGTGCTTTTTGCATCATTACTAAGAAGTTTTTACCAAACACAAGGCCAGGAAGAGTTTCACCTATGCTTCTTCTCTAAGTTTTATAATTTTAGGTTTTACATTTAGGTTACCATCTATTTTGAATTAAATTTTGTATGTGGTGTGCAATTAGGGTTGAAGTTTAGTTTTTCATGGTTTAAGAATGATGTTAGCTTGAGGAATATTCCCTCCTGCTATATTTTCTTAAAGAGTTTGTATAGGATTGGTATTTTTTCTTCCTTAGATCCTTCCTTTATAGAATTTCACAGTGATGCCATTGGGCCTAGAATTTTCTTTTTGGAAAAAGTTTAAATTATGAACTCAATTTCTTTCGTTTTTTTATTTTTTGACATAGTGTCTCTCTTTGTCACCCAGGATGGAGGGCAGTAGCATGATCATAGCTCTTCTGTAACCTCAAACTCTTGGGCTAAAGTGATCCTCAGCCTCCCAAGTAGCTGGGACTAGAGGCACATGGCACCATGCCCAGCTAATTTTTTTTTTTTTACTTTTTGTAGAGATGGGGGTCTCACTGTGCTGCCCAGCGCTTTAGCCTCCCAAAGTCTGGGATTACAGGCATGAGCCATGGTGCCCGGTCTTCAGTTTCCTTAATATTTATATTCAGATTCTCTTTTGTTGTCTTGAGTAGTTTTGGTAAGTTTTATTAAGGTATTGGATTTATTGACATAAATGTTACAGTATTTCTTAATGTTTTTGAGATGTGATGTTGTTCTTCATGTTGAGAAGAAGTATTTTATTTCTTTTTAATCAGTCTACCTAGGTTTATCAATTTAATAGATTCTTTCCTTTGAAGAGCTAGCTTTGGTGTCGATGATTTTCACTATTTTTGCTGCTTTTTCACTGACCACTGCTCTTATTTTCTTTTTTCTATCGTTGCCTACGTTTATACTATTTCTTAAGTTCTTCATGCCTTTATTTACATATATTCAAGTTTCCTTCTGATATTATTGTATTTTCACTTGAAGAACTTTATTTCTTTTAGGACAGGACTCTGGGCAATGAATTCTCTCAACTTTTGTTTTCCTGGAAAAGTTTTTATTTCAACTTTATTTTTGAAGACTGTTTTCAGACTATGTAGAATTCTAAATTGACACTTACTTTCAGCACTTAAAAAGATATCATTTCCTTGTATTCTGGCTTATATGGTTTCTGACTAGAACTTTGTGGTCAACTCTTATCTTTGTTCATTTGTATATAAAGCATATCTCTCTTCCACACCCCCACCCCCACCCCCAGGTTACTTTTAAGATTTTTCTCTGGCTCAGCACCTGTGTCTCAAGTGGCTAAGGCGCCAGCCACATACACCT